ACTCCTCCATTCGTGAGGACTTCCCCTTGTCTGAGCGAGAAGATGTTGCCACAACGGGCGGACTCATAGGAGTATCTGCAAAACTCAAGAGCAACAAATCAGAAACCAACAACACAAGCAAATGTAAGACATCAAAAGACTGAATTACCTTCTGCTTCAATGTTTGGGGGGTTGACGCCCTGGTAAGAAGGTGGCTCATCCATGGATTGTGATGAGGACTCCGGGACTGAAGATGTCTCTTTAAGCATAGTCCCCTCATCAACCGGTTTGGATGAAGTAGCCTCAGTAGAGGATGATGGAGCAGGAGCTGTCGATGCCAAAGCCTTTGAAGGAGAGGCTGAGCTTTTCTGAGAAGTCCAAAAGATCATCAGCACACAGAAAAGTTTCAAGTGTGGAAAGGTATACTTGTGAGTAAACCAATTTAATTTCCTTCCTCCTGACGATAAGAGGGGCATCATCATCATCATCAACATCATCCTCCAGAATGGGAGATGCTGAGGCTGGCCGTTTGCGGCTTGGGGCATTCTTGGCCGTAGTAGGCTTGGCAGAAAGAGAAGAAGATGGACTAGCAGACTGTTTAGTGCGACGAGGAGGAGAAGGACTCCGAATGGACAAGGGAGTGACTAAAACAGAAGGAGGGGAAGAAATGCTCGGTTGGTCTAATGAATGAAAGGTACGACTGGCGTCAGTCGCAAATAATCTGCACTTCACTGATGGCCAGAGCTGTTCAAAAAGAGGGTGAATGGCGTGGCTAGAATTGAAGGGGGCTAATGAAAAATGGCTGGTTAAAAGAAGATTACGAGCATTTATAGCCTCTGCCTCCACCTTATTAATGGTATAAAAACGGTCAACTAAGTTCCTTGAATAGCAAGGAGGAACAGGCCAAATTTGGCCGAAACCAAACTGACGAGTAAAAAATTGGGGAGCATAAATTTCTACCCCCGCCTTGGCATTGGTCCCAGTTAGAATATCATGAAATAGCTCCCTCCCAGCTAAAAATGGATCCAAATGAGCAGGGAGGTGCTCGCGCTATCTATAGTAGAAGGGGGATATACATAGTTTGGAGTCAAAAAAGGAGGAAAAGGAAAAAAGGAAGGGATTGAATTCAAAAAATAAAAGAATGAAAATGTCCCTTCTGGACATATTTACAGGAGCTAAGGGCTCCATGACTAGCCCATAATAGCTAGCAGAGGAGCGAGAGATTGATGGAGCACCAAGCAATGGAAAATAGGATCTCAACCACAGTTGAGTGAACCAAAGAGGTCCACTGCCAGTGGGAGATGCATCATTCTTTAATTGAGCTTGAAGAGAGGCCATGCCTCTATAAAGGGCAGCCAAAAACAAAGAACATAAATTCAAAGGCCTGCCACGCCCCAATTCGTGCGCTATAGGTAAATAGCTAAGGGAGAGCTTTATGATTGGCACACACAAAATATATTTACAAAGCCAAACTAGAAGGAAGGCCACTCGCTCAGTATGGGAAGGCTCATCGCTCGAATGATTGTGAAGGGTTTGCAGGGTTGATAAGAATCGGTGTAGTTTTTACCAAACTTTGGGGCGCCACCAGAAATCAAGATACAGGAAAAATGGTATCGCCCAAAGGTGGTAGATTCACCAAGGCCCCAACATCCCTTAAAGTAATAGACATGGGGCCAAGAGGGAAAATAAATGTGTTATACTCAGGAGACCAAAAACTCAAAGCAATCGAAAAGAGTGTTGAATCAAAAGTAGGGGGGCGAATAGAGATTTCTAACAAATCAGAAATTCTAGCGCTATCAAAAAGTGCCTTAGTAAGATCAAGACCCACAAGGCGAGCATGCCACCTACAGAAAGCTACATCAGATTTAGGCCAAGTGCGAATACCTCTTTCGCGAAGTGGCCCCAGCGGTAAAGAGTTCAGAATTGGAGGGCCTTGAGTGCAAGGAAACAGTTGACCCACCGCCGCCTGTTCAACTGCCTCTGCATTGTTGAAGAAAGGACCCAAGTAGAACTCATTACATTCAACGTCGGCGGGCGCGAGAAAACTCGGAGTTATGTATGGACGACTCAGGAGTTTCTGAAAGTCATTGAAACTAAAGGAGTCGCCAGCTTGAGATTGTGAAGTAGCCATTTGAGATGGAACGAAGTTTTTCAGGGTTACGTAGCAGGGAAGCAAAGGATGAACAGTAAATCTTGAGAAAGACGCGAAAAATTTGAGGCGTGATTTAGTGATGCAGTGAAATGGCGTGTTTGGGGGTTATAAGGGTTTGCAAAACGACGCACCTTTTCAAGTTATAGATGAAAACAATGATTGGAATTCTTGAAAATTTCGAATATTGCTGGAAACACAAAGTGAATATGGCAAAATTTAATAATTATTAATTCTGTCATATTGGAGGGTAATTGTTAACACATAAAAATTCAGCCCAAATCAAACGGTCCAAGGAGTGAAGCCCAATTGGAAGATCCCCAAATCAGATAGCCCAAAGAACGAAACTCAATCGAACAAATCAAGATGAAGGCCTAAATAAGGAGGCCCAAGAACGCGGTAACGCCATTGCCCAAGTTTGCAAGTCGCCCAGAATCTGAGCGAATCGAGTGCCATACAGTCTCCCAGAGCTGTTACTCTATTCTCACCCAAACCTTCAAATCGCCCAAGATCTTAACAAATATAAAGCGTTGTGGTTATCAAGACGTGCCGTTATCAAAGCAGTTATTAAAGCAGCCCTATCACGTTCTACGATTCAAGGAATTCAATTGAAAGCGGTTGAACGACAAAAAGTAATGGCAGCAGTTAAAAAAAGCAGTTTTCATGACAAGTTGGCCATTATGAGGAAAGTGAGCAGTTATAGGACGATCAAGCGATTTTTAGGCGGTTGATCACAAAGAGATCGTCTGTGAAGTATAAAAGGGAGAAAAAAACATAGAGCAAAGGACCGAATCAAAAACTCTCGAACAGAGAACATATAATTTTCATTTCCTTAACTTAGATTTAAACACTTTTCTTTCAGTAACTCGTGTGCTTGCGCCCCTTGGAGGCACGTTATTTTTAATTTCCAATTGTAAAGTCATCGCCAATAAAAGAACACTCCTTTTTGGGATTTTGTCTCAAGAGGTTTGTCCCTTACACAATCGTTTGATCCTTTTTAATTGTTAGCGACTAACCCGCGCGAAACAACTAAAAATATAGCTTAATTTGTTGTTAATGTTTGTATCTAAAGCGTTTTGCTGTAAAACCAAAAAAAATATTCAAGAATAATCTCAATCTTGATCTTTATCTTTATCTTTATCTTTATCTTTATCTATGCAAGTGGGTAGGACTGATTCCTCATAGCAACTCTCCCTTTATTAAAGTGGTCATGAAGACCTTGCCAATGGTGCAATGATATAGTTTTTTTGAGATTATAATTTCGTCAAATTTCGTTTTTACTCTTACATTTTATTGGATCGATAACTTTTATTCATTTTTAATCTTATGTTTCATGAGACCCATCAATTTTTAATGTTCAAAATCTTTGTCAAACAGAGGCTATGAATTACAAATCCAACAATCCCATTTGCATTAAACTTTAAAATTAACTAAGTACAGTCAAAGATGAATATCTACATTTTTACTTTTTCTTTTCTTGAAAAGAACAAATAATGAATACCACACACATGGAATAAAAAGACACTGAAAAAAGGTCATGAAACCAACCTCCCAATACAAGCCACTGTCACTTGTCATCCATGAAATAATTAAAAAAAATACGATGACTGGTAAACAAAAAAATTAACCACACCTCATCTATGTACTAAAAAGAAAAATCCTCTCAAAATCAAAATGAGAAAAAGAAGGCTTCTTAACAATCTTGAGATCCCTTCAATGAATTTTTGCAGGCTTCTCTTCAATTAGAAATTTCCTCCGGTATTTAAAATCCCTGCATGATTGGGAAATAAAGTTTAAATTTTAATGAAATTATTTTTAATTTTAATTTCAAGGTTGAAATTTAGTGTTTCTATGCATACACATCATGTTTGGTGAGAAATACTACAAGACTTGATGGTATCTCTTTTATTTTCTTATTTGACCCTTATTTGGTTAAAATAAAAACCAGATTTTTAATAGATTTAGATAATAGTTGATGAAATTTGTGATTGAAAAATTGAAAAATTGTGGATATCATGAAATGTGTAATTAAAAATGAATTTTAAAAAAAAACTAAGTTTACAAAATGGGGGGCCAAACAAGATCTTAATATTGTTCAGTCCTATCCTGTTTATTAAACATGCACGTAGCACGAATAGGATATAGTACCTTGGCAATAATGGCTCAGCTAACAAGTTGTCCTTCAGCAGGCCTTGGTGGTGAGTTTGGGGTACCATTTTCAGTCTTCTTGAGATTTTGATGATAATATATTTGCCTCAGTCTCTCTATTTCCTTCTTCAAAGCTTCTTGATGAGCTGGTTTCACACAAGTAAACTTCCAATAATCACTTGCACTTGCATTAGAATGGAACAAAAACTTGGATTTACAATTTTCTTTTGACAATTTGTTTAATTCTCGATACTTAAATAAATCAGTTCATTCTGGCAATAATGGTAGATAGGACTTTTGCAGTTCAATTTACAAGACTTGAACTAGTTTTTCTTAATCTTATCGAATACTAACCAGTACAGCATAAATTCTTACCATCTTTGAAGAGTTTATCTTGAGCCAAAGCTGCTAATCTTTGCTTGAGAACACTGTTATCCACATTTAGCACCAGGCGTTGGTGGTCCAGAAAAGCAACCCTTGGGGATAATACTGAAACTTCAGCCTTTACATCAAGCCAATGATGTAAGTTCAATTAATTATGAAAGCTTAATTAAAAAAAATTAATTAAGAAGAAAAATTATAATTTTTTCTGAAAAAATCAGGTAGCACGTTCAATTAACTTACTTGAAGTGAATTTACGCTGCGTTCTAGTTCGGATATGTACTGTAATTTCCTTACTCGGGACCTTTGCGCAGATTGCCGATTAGCCAAGATTCTGATATGTGATCACACGAGAATGATAATTAATCAGAATTTTCTACCATTGCATGTTAAATTCTTGATGCTGTAGGAGAAGAATGTTATTACATGGTAAAAATATCTGGTCAAATTTAGCATATCAAACATGTCATAAAAAGTTTTATAGTAATGATTACCTCTTGATCCTTTTTGGATCAGAAATCTTATCAGTTGAATTGTCTGTAGTTGCATGTTGAGCATTTTGCTCCTCAGATTTGCATGAGCTATACACCTCATCAGGTTCATTTTTTGGCTGATGCAGCTGTTGATCAGGTGGACCTTGTTTATCATCATTAATGCTATTATGATCAGACGGCGACGAAGGACTCGAAGATGACAAAGTGGGCCCCATCACAACATCATCGGTGAACATAGACATGAACTGATCATCATCAAACCTCTCAAATTCACTAGCATTCCCAGAACCAGCAGCTATAGATGATCTTCTGCATTCTTGCACCATTGGTGCTTCAAGAAAAGCAATTGACTCACTAATAGACCTCCGATGGCCACGGCGCTGGACAGATGAGAAGTCGAGAAATTCGTCGACCCACGAAGGATCTTGAGGAGTAGTATCATTACTTGTTACCAAATTTTCCATGGGAGACATCTTCTGGTGAGAAAAATCATGCCAATTTTGAGTCACATTTGGCACTTTTGGAGGTAAATTATGTGCCATTAGTGTCAAGAGTCTATGAATCAAAGAGCAAAGCTAAGACAAACCAAACCAAACTACAATTTGTGCACAAGAGGGCCTTTTATACTCAAAAAGTCACATGGGACATGAGAAATGTAAAATGGAAGACAGCCACTAACGCTGAAAATAATATTTAAATGAATACAAATTGTTCATTCTAATTGATGAAGTTTCAAGACGAGATGGTTAACTAGTACGGTAATCCTATTTGTGAAAATTGTGCATGCAAGTATTGAAAAATGATTTTGGTTCAAATATGATGTGACATGATAAAAGCAAGATTTGAACCATCACATATTAGAATTAATCTAGTTGTACAAACTTTGTTCACAAAAGTTAGTTTACAAACTAAGGTCGTGTTTGAGTCGTATTTTTTTCAAGAAAATACATTCTTAAACAGTAATTTGACATTATTTCGACACTATATTCTTCAATAAAATAATATTACAGTTAAATCTAAAAAAAATTCTTATTTTTTAATCACACATTCTCTATCAATCTACTATTTCAAAAAACGTTTTTTCGAAATAATGTGACTCAAACACGCACCGAATGTTTGTCATTGATTTCTATTTAATTTCAAAAATTGTTTTTGAAATAATTGACCTAAATATTGTCAACATATAATTTGTAAATCAAGTTTATCAACCTAATTTGTACACATAGCATGCCTCTTTCCAAGAACATGCTCTTCATTGCTTCGAACCGGCAAAATTGACTGACAGACAGTAATTTGATCAAAGGATGATGGCCATGTAATTAAATCACATTTGATCCAACGGCCATGATCAAGGGATTGCAGGTAGACTTGATGCAGAGGAATGTTCTTAACTATTATGCGAAAGTGATATCATTACAAGTTGCAGGGAGGCGGGAGGCCACACCACCACGTGGTTTCTGATTACTCTTAGTTAATAAAAAATTGCAACTTTGCCAGTAAAACCGTTGGGACTAAACTTCCCCGACCAGCTGTTGATAGCTGGCCTAATCCATCTATCCCCATGTGACCCCAACATCACAGTGTGTGTTGTGTGTGAGAGAGAAACAAAGAAAAGAAAGAGAGAGTAACACCTTCACCTTCTTGTTGTTAATCATATTATCTAAAAAGTTGTAATTCAGCTCGGGATTAAAAACAGTTTTTGAAATCAAATAGAAATCAATGGCTAACACTTAGTTTGTAAATAAAGATTGTACAACTAAATTAATTCTCTTGAAAATACTTGACTATAATGTTATGCACGTGCATTTAGAAAACGTAGGACTATACAAGATGCTCAAAAAACGTTATAAACATTGGCTCAATTCAATTGGAGAAAAATTAATTTGTTCAACATCAACTCTATTATAAATAGCTTAAACCTAATATAGAATTTTCAAAGTGAAACATGATGCGCGTACGTGAATGTTTATATATTCAACATTTTAAATACAACATACTTCAAATGAAAGTCGAATGTGGGAGGCTTTTATTCTAGGGAAAGCTCTAGTCCTATAAATATTGCTTATTCTAATAGAACTATATGTTATTACTGAAAGACGGAATTTAAAATTTTAAATCAAAACACTATGTATGAGTAGTATATATGAACTGTCAGAATCTCACACAATGTACAAAATAATTGGTGTCACATTGAAAATGGATTGATTGATAGAGTTATATTGTTTATGGTAGACAGGGAGAATAGTTGAAAACGTAGAATTTAGAAGGATGAGCTGTGGAAAGTGAGAGTGCTTGAATGGGATCATGTGTTGCCATGTGAAGTGTTTGCATACCCTAATTTCCTTTTCTTTGTCTCCAATCTATACCCACATGTAGGGCATGTGTCCTTTATGCTCTCTATTTCTATGCAACTTCCCTAAACAAGAATTTATGCCATTTGTTACAGCAACTATTTGCTGGAAGCCATTAAACATCATTAGAGGACATTTCTTAGTACTTCGAATGAGGTTTGCCTTGCCACCAATTAAATTAATGACACAATCAATATATCTTAAGTATGTAAGAATGAATCAAGCTTGAAGTACAGGGTAGGCTACTGAGCACTCACATCATGAGGTGGCTTTTTGACCAATTTTTTATACAGGTGGGTCCCGCATGGGACCCACCTGCTGTGAGAGTCAGTAAGGGTTTTGCTAGGGCTGAGCAAATCTCTCGAACCGAACCGACCGAACTGAACTAAATCGAATCCGGCGGTTCTTGTCAAATTAAATACCCGAACGGGTATCTGAATTGAAAACCGACGGGTATGGTTCGGTTCTCGGTTCTAGACCGAGAACCGAATCTTTTTAATTTTTTTTATATTAAGTAAATCAAATTATTTTAATTTTAATTTTTCTAAACAAATTGACAAATTAATAATTTCTAAATCCAAATTTTTGGCTCAATAATTTGTTTCATTTCTAATTTTTGGTCCAATTACCCATTTTATTATTTCATTTTTTAGCCCAATAAGATCCAATCCACTAAATAACCCTAAACACCTACACTAAAGTGCATAACGTTGTCTCGACTCTCACACTCACTCTTACAGCCCCGCTAACATTCCAAAATATATACAATTGATCATCGGTCGACAATGTGACCTCCGCCGACCGAAGTTTTAACCGTAGCGATCATTTGATAAAGGTAGTCTACTAGTCTTTGACATTCCAAAACCATTGAATGTATCATTAGTTGTATTTATATAATGTTATTATAAATATTAAAAAATTTAATTATAGAACAGAACCGAACGAAACCGAACCGAACCGAACCGAACCGTCGGGTCCATTTACTAGATACTCAAAAATTTTGGTTCGGTTCGATTATCCCTAAAACCGAACCGACCCACGCCCACCCTTAAGCAAAACTCATGTAAGAATAGAGGAAACATATTTTATTTTTTAATATCATCCAATAATACTTAAAATCCATTTTATGAAGCAAATCATGAACTTAGTGTTGAGCAATGAAGCATTTTCCTTAATTCTCATTCGAATGTAAATTAGTTTAGTCGGTTGTTGAACTTTAGGGGTGTGTTCGGCTAACTTCTATCGTTATTATTATTATTATTTTTTAAATCTTATTTGACAATACACAAGTTATATTTATATAGTGAATTAATCGAATTAATATATCTTATGAGGTGGGTTTTAATCGAATATAAGAAATCGTGTGATGAATATTATGTATAAAAATCGAATCCTGACCATGTTCCCTCACTTGTTGCCCCGGCCCTCCAATGCTAACCCTTTCCAACGGAAATGGACAATAAAAACTATTGAGCTCCTATTCAGTTTTTCGTAGATTTTTAATAGAAGAGGATGGACGGTGTAGTTTAAAAGATGTGAATTGTATAAAATGTATTATTAAAATTAATTGTTGATTTTGATTTAAATTTTAATTCAACATGAACCAATCATAGGTTAAAAATTATAGAGCACTTCTACACTAACAGATGAATGGTTGACAAAATTTATACAGACAAGGGGTGGAAGATTTTTTTGATATTATTTATCAAAACATGGAGCCCACACACGAGAGTCTTCTGGTAAAATTCTATGAAGAATATTTTTGTACTAATGGAAATAACCAAAATTAAGGTGTGTTTCATAGGCATGTAAAAATATATTTTACAATAGTAAATTGATGTGAAATGTGTGATTTAAAAATAAGGAAAATTTTTTTATTTACGAATAATATTATTTTAATAAATAATGTGTTGTTAAAAAGAAGAGAAAAAATGCATTTCGAAGAAAATGCTACCAAAGGGGGCCTAAAATACTAACAAAAGGTCAAAAGGAATTGCAAAAAAAAGTTAAACCCCTTAAACCCTAATTCTACGGAAGATACAACGAAGCGGCCATTACTAGTTAACTGCAGAAAATGGTCGGTCCATTTCTCCGATCTCTCTGGTACACGTCTCTGATAAACAGCCACCAGAAAATCCCTCTCTTTTTACTCCTCTAATTATCTAAAGCCTCATTTATTCGGATGCGCCTTCTCCACAGCGAGCGCCACTGCCGCCGTTTCATCCGCGGCGACTCTGGACGGTGCTGTGGACCCTGGCCAGCTGAGGAACGTGGCTGTTATAGCCCACGTCGACCATGGAAGGACCGCCCTCAAAGATAGGTTCCTCCGCCAGTGCGGTTCTGACATCCCCCACAAATAGACTTCATCAGCCTCGAGCGCGAGCTTGGCATCACCATTGCTTCTTAGGTACTCATTAAGATACTACCTTCCTTGAATTATTCATTAACTTTTTATGTTTGCTTCCTTATAAACTTCATGGAAGAAGGAAAGTAATTGGTAAAAATAGCAGCTTGATGAAAAATTTTTGTTTAACATCGCTCTGTTTTCCCATGAAATGCATTTCACTCTGTTGTAATTCTGATTTTATTCACTACATGCCAAATTTCTGAAAGGGGGTGATTTTAGCGTTGTATTTCACGTGGGGTGTTTGAGTCAATCAATTGCTCTTATAAATTGATGAAGTTCTAAACAAAATACACATATTTCTATTAAATTGATTTTTAAAATTAAAAAATACCAGGTGGTAGTGCCATAAATTGATCCAGAAACAAGGTTATTCCCATGGACAGTGTGTTAAAAATAATAAACAGGAGTGAGATCAAGTGGGTAAATTTGTTATAAGATATACTAGGACAAGTATGAAGTCCTTTGAGGTGGAATTGCATACAATTTTAGATCTTTTGGTTCCATCTTTGTGTTTCTTTATTTAGATGTCTGACTTGTATTACTGATTTCACGCTTTCCACTACCACAATACCAACTTTGAAGTGACAAATGGTTCTTGAAATAGGAAGAGAAGGAGAAGGAGAATATAGTGAGAAGATAGAGTGAAAAATATGAGTTTATTCAATATCAAAGTTTAACTATTATATAGGGTTTAAATTAGTCAATTTAAGTAGGAAAGTACTGCAAATTTTATTAAATCAAAGCATAATAATTTTTCCTAAAATAAGCATCCAATTTGGAAGTTAAACGACTCATAGAATCATCATTACGTTACCTAAAGTAAGTATATAATTTGGAAAGTAAATTAAATATTATCTCTTCTAGGATTTTCATCATAGGGATTGCCATCTCCTTTTCTAACTGGCATCTGTTAAGTTAGCTGAAGCTTACGCTTTGAGGCCTGCCTTGTGAGGCTTTCATTGAACGACTCAAGATTTCCCCTTAAATGTCATTTTGAATGCTCGCGTCTCAATTCATTGAGGCACTTCCTTGACTTATTTTGTTTTATACAAGGGAAGTCACCATTATGAGTGGAGGATGATGACAAAGAATGAGGGGGAAAATGACAAAGATGAGGAGGACGATAGGAGAATGGAAAACACGCTGATGATTCTTTTAAAGATCCTACCAGTAACAATGACATAGGAGATTTCTGGTAGTAATGAAAAAAGTCGGTCTTACTGCTGCAACCATTTGGTTGGTAGTAGGTCGATGAAAGTTTATGAGATGTATTTTTTCCCGAGCAGCTAGAGGATGTAGATTTTTGGTCTCTTGTGACGGTGTATTATGGTTAATGAAAATATATTTATATTTCCTCTGTTGCTTATGCTAATTTACATTTTAGATGTCCGGATGGACTATACCACTGATTTTTCACTTTTTAATACCACCCTTTAAGAAGTGAAAAATGAAATTTGGAAATTGTATACACAAATAGTTCTTGTTTTCTTGATGCCAATAGACTGGGTGTCTCTTCTTCTAAGTCTGCATATAAGGTCTCTTCTTCTATGTCTGCACATAAGGGCAATGTAAGTTGTGGTGGAATAATATTCGTGACTTTTGGATTTGTACATTCTTATGAAGTTGACTTACATCATTTGTGTCTCATGGATTCCATTTATAAGTTTGATAAAATTTTCCCTGGCAATGATGATAAAAGGCCGAACTTACGGCTGCCACCATATGGTTGGTAGTAGATTGATTAATGTTTAGGCAAGGTATTTTTCTGAGCCAGTGGATGTAGATTTTGTACAGACTATCATGCCAGTTAAGCATTATTAATGAAAATATATAAACACTATCCTGCATGAGGGTGGAAATTGTATGTAAATAGTTCTTGAAGCGAGAGGTTGGGTATCTCCCCTGCTAAATTTCTCCGTATATAGGCAATATAAATTGTTTTGCAGTATTCATGTCTTTTTTTATTTGTAAGGAGCCTTTGAAGAGGTCTTACATAATTTTTTGGATCTCTTGGATTCCATCTTTTATGTTGGATAACATTTCCCCTGGCAGACTGCTCAATCCGATCAACCCAACCCTAAACCGTCGGTTTGGATTGGTTTTTTGAGTTCAGTTGGGTTAAAAAATTAAATTTGAGGTTCGGTTGGGTCTTGGTTTATAATTTAAAATCCAACCCAATGAATTAAAAAATTTAATATCTAAGATGGAAAAAAAAATTCCTAAATAAACACAATAGTAAAGATACGAGGATATGAGGACTTATAATTTATAAACATCCATTTTATTTATATAGATGATTCACATGAACACTTTGTACAAATAAAATGTTATTTGACAATAAAGTAAAAATTAAGAACATGATGATGAAATAAATAAATCCCAAAAATTTTTAAAAAGAAAATGTTTTATAAATTTTAAACTTCTTTATACGTTATTTTTCAAAAAGAATTCCTTATATCTGTATAAAAAATAAAGATTTTCGAGTAATTTCAAACTTTATAAATTTATCCAAATTCAACAAAAAATAATCGGATCAAACTTTAATTGGGCCGAAGCCCAAAATTGGGTTGGTTGGATTTTAGATTAAACCGACCATGTTAAGTTGGGTTTGGGTTGAGAAAAAATCGACCCAGCCTAACCTAACCCATGCCCATCCCTACCTGGTAGTAATGATAAAAAGGTAGGAGTTACGGCTACTGCCATTTGGTCGGTACTTGGTGGTAGATTGATGAAAGTTGGGTGAGGTATTTTTTTGAGCCAGTGGATGTAAAATTTGCTTAGGGATTAGATTTTGTATAGTAGATCGTGCCAACGTAGTGGAGCAGCATTCTTGACTTTTTTTGATTTGTGAGCATTCTTATGAAGTGAGTGACATTCATTTTTAGATCTCTTGGAGCCTATCTTTATATCGAATAAGTTGTCTCTGTAAAAAATCAACACGGCAGAATCAAATATTAGAGAGGAAGAAATGCAACTATTATATTCTCATTTAATTTTGGAGCAGCTGTGCATCTATATATAAAGAAGGAAAGGAAAAATGCTATACATAAAGGACAAAGAATATACAGGTGGCAAACCAATTAACTAGTTCTAGAATCTTCAGCAAAAATAACCAACTGAGCAATTTAAAAAATGCCTATGTCACGTCAGATCTGTGAAGCTCTAAATGCTGCTGATTGTGCTGCTGCTGTTGATTAAGCTCCAAGTGTTGTTGGTTGTCTTCATGTCCCAATACCCCCCACAAGATGGAGAATATGTATTAATTATTCCCATCTTGGAGAGGTGAGATGAGATTCAAGGCCTGAGGGAAATCTTTAGCAGGACGAAGAGGGGCAGGATTAGTTGTGCCATTTATTTGAAATGGAAAATATCCTTTATGGAAAACAACATCACGAAATATGAATATTGATTGTGTGTCAAAGTCTGGGAGTTTATATCCTTTCACACCAAAAGGGTATCCAAGCAAAACACATTTTCTTCCGATCTCTAGATAGAGTGGAAGCAAAACACAATTAGCCAAATGTTTTCATGTGAGAGTATGATGGTTTCTTGTCAAATAATAACTCAAAAGGTGTTTTATTTGAAAATAAAGGTGTTGGGATATACATATACACCGCAGATACAGTCATTCCGGAATTTTGCAGGGATTTTGGCTTGGATTTTAAGAGAATGAGCTACGTTCAAGAGATTTTGATGTTTTCTTTCAACAACCCCGTTTTGTTGGGGGGATTCGACACAGCTTCTATGATGAGTAATGCCATTTTTATTGAAAAAATCCTTCATTTGAAATTCTAGGCCATTATCACTTCAAAGGATCTTAATCTTAAAACTAAATTGCGTTTCCACCAGATTATAGGATGCTTCTAAACAAGCTCTAGTGTCAAATTTTGCTTTAAGAGGATAGACCCAAGTGCTTCTAGAGAAATCGTCCACAATGGTTAGAAAATACTTGGATCCATCATAAGCTTCTGTAGAACTTGGTTCCCAAATGTCAAAGTGGATGAGTTCGAAATTTTGTTTAGTTTTATGGGTGCTGATAGGAAATGGTAGTCTACGTTGCTTTGCAAGTGGACATACACAACAAGGAACATTGCTAGTGCCGGATAAGTCATTCTTAACAATAGGATCAGAAATTAAATTCAACCTTGAGAAATGTGTATGGCCAAGCACTGATGCTCGGACTCGGCTTTTCGACCGGCGTACCCGTGTCGACACAACATGACACGAGTACGGGTATGAAATACGGGACAGACACGGCAAATTTCCACCGGACACGGCAAGGGATGGAAAACTGCTGGACTTCACCGCCGCACCATTGTTGCAATCTTGCAGATTCGCGTGATGCTCGTTAGGGAAGAAGAAGGGATTCAATAGTTGGGCCTTTGTTTTTTAAATTTTGGGCCTTTTTTTTAATTTTTTGAGCCATTGTGGTTGAAAACAGGCCGGCTGATTTAGGGAATAGTTGAGTTGTAGTTGGGCCTTTTGAGCCCTTTTTATTTTTTATTTTTTTTATTTTTTTATTCATTGTGGTTGAAGTATATTTACATCATTAAATTGATCGAGCAAATTGCATGAGCTTTATTATTCCTTAAATATGTTTTTTTTTTCCTGATCACGATGAGATCATTAATTAAAAAATATATATATCATGGTAGATGATGTTACAAAATTTTTAAAAAATTTTAAATGTGATTTTTCTTTAGCCAAAATAATTGACAAATAATTATAAAATCAACATAAATAGATATTTTTGAACAATTTAATAGCATTTTTTGAAATTAATATTTTTTCAAAACTTGACAAGATAGAAGTAACCAAATAATAGTTGATTAATCAAATGAAAAGACTAGTCACTAATCTATTTATTATGTTTGAAATTCAATTAATTTGTCATGTATTTACAAATTACAAATACAATAATAGCTGATCTCATACTATTTTCTTATTAAATATTTTATCAAAGCTTGACAAAATAGAAGTAATCAAATAATATTTTTGATTAATTATAGTTTCTTTGTTTTTTAAAAATGTTTATACGAAAAGCTAAAAAAAAAAAAAATTGTAATAAATTCTAAAACATATTATTTTTGTTCTAAATTAAATTTTTTGTCTAAAACAAATAAGATAACTAATAATTATTTCAAACCTTCTTTAGAAAAAAGAAAAACGAATTAAAAATTTTCAACTTTTTTTAGATTGTGAAAACATTAACAAACTTGATCTATCTACAATAGTGATTGATCTTATATGATTTGAAATGCGATCGCACATTATTACGATTGAACTCAACTAATCTTTAAACAAAAAGACTGGACACTAATTGATTCATCATTTATTTTGGAACTCAATTAACTTGTCGTCTATCTATAGTAATAGTCGTTCGTATACTATTTTAAAATTCGATCACACTAGATCACGATTGAACTCTACTAGTCTCCGAACGAAACGCTGGTCACTAATTGATTCAACATTTATCTAGAACTCAATTAGCTTGTGGTCTATCTACAGTAATAGTCAATCGTACGCTATTTTGAGATTCGATTACACTATATCACGATTAAACTTAATTAGTCTCCAAACGAAACATTGGTTAATGATTGATTCATCATCTATTTGGAACTCAATTAACTTGTCATCTATCTATAGTAAATAGACTAATAGTCGATCCTATACTGTTTTGAGATTCGATCACACTATATCACGATTAAACTCAACTAGTCTCCAACTAAAACACTGGTCAGTGATTGATTCATCATTTATCTGGAATTCAATTAACTTGTCGTCTATCTACAGTAATTATCGATTGTATACTATTTTGAGATTCGATCATACTATACCACGATTAAATAAAATGAGAAAATTGTCTTAAGGTGTGAATTTATACTACTACTTTATAATTAACATGATATGTGTTTACTAATCTAATTTATATAAGAAAAATGGATGTTTCCCATTTTAGTTCCTTAGGATTGAAATATACTCTCCTATAAATATTACTCGTTTTCTCTAACTATATAGAGACCCACATAGAAAGAAGTTCTTGTTCCTTAATTAATATAAATTATCCCCATATATATGCTCTACAAATAGAAATTAAAATTCCTAATTTTACCATTCTCTTTGCAAAATAAAAATAATTTTCTTCATCTCCCCCAATCAAAGAAAACGGTTCAGTCCACTGTATTTATAAATCACATGTATTAAAATGGAAATCATATAATATGTATTAAAATGAAAATCATATAATATGTATTAAAATGAAGTTTTAAAACTATCATCCAATTGGACCGTGCATCCAATTTAATTCATGTTATTGGAAGAGTAAACATCCCAATTTAATTCATTTTCATTGGACCATATTTTATTGGAACAACAAACATCCCAATTACATTTCCTTCTTCACGCAAACCGCAGCAGTCCACCATTCTCACCAGAAAATCTGCAAGACTAAATACAACCATCAACCATGAACCCATCCAGCTCTTCACAAGAAAATCTGCAAACACAAAACTCCCTTATAAGACCATCTATTCGTGGGCAAAAATTTGATGACAAGCCATTATGGAATCATGTAAAAATTCTGGGTATATCAGCAGGTGGAGGAGGAAATCGCACTTGGAGTTGCAACTACTGCAGCAAGAAAGTGACCGGATCACATTCTAAAGTGAAGGCTCATTTGCTAAAACTTTCCAATCATGGGGTTCAACCTTGTAAGGTCGTGACTGATGACATACTCCGCGAGATCACGAGGGAACACGAGCAAGCTAAATGGAAAAAATCACAACATGAGTATAATGAAAGAAAAAAGGCAGAATATGTTTCTCTACCTGATGGTTCAGATTTGTCACAGAAAAAGCGAAAAAAAATGAAGGATATGGACCTTTGGAAGTCATTCGACATAGCATAAAGGGATGTAGCTGATAAAGAGGATGCCCGTATGTTTTATGCAAGTGCTTTACCGTTTAATTTTGCAAAATCTCCCTACTTTAGCCAGCATTCCCGAGCCTTGGCCAATAGCAATTTGGCAGGTTACACTCCTCCTTCATATAACAGGCTACGTACTACATTGCTTGCCCAAGAAAAGGAGCATATTAACAGGAAACTTCAACCCATAAAAGACTCTTGGAGGGAAAAGGGAGCATCGATTGTGTCCGATGGATGGTCAGATAGGCAAAAAAGACCTCTTATAAATATTATGGCTGCTTCTGCTAAAGGAGTAATGTTTATTCAAGCAATTGATGCTACTGGAAATATAAAATATTGTGATTATGATGCAACGTTGTTTATAAATGCAATCAAGGAAATTGGAGAAGAAAATGTCGTTCAAATTGTCACAGATAATGCAATCAATTGCAAAGCTGCTGAATTAAGCATCGAGTCTAGGTATCCTCATATCTTTTGGACTCCTTGTGTGGTACATAGTTTGAATTTGCCTTTAAAAAGTATTTGTGATCCTTCTGAAAAATCACCTCAATATGCAAATAGTAAATGGATTGCTGATTTACTGAGTGATGTACAAACTATTTGGAATTTTATTGTTAATCATGGTATGGCACTAGCAATATACAATAAATACTCTAAGTTGAGTTTGTTGAGAGTGGCTGACACAAGATTTGCATCAAGTATTGTAATGACTAAACGCTTGAGAGAAGTTAGGTCGGCATTAGAAAAAATGGTGATGGATTCAGACTGGAAAGTTTATAGGGATGCAAACATTGACAATAAAGCACAAGAAGTGAAAAAATGCGTTATGACTGATTCTTGGTGGAATGATTTGGATTATTTGTTGTCCTTTACTGATCCTATTATTAATATGTTACGAGTTGCTGATTTAGATTCTCCAGTTTTGCATTCAATATATATTATGTGGGACACAATGATTGAAAATGTGAAAAAAATAATATTTCAGCATGAAGGGATAGATATGGTTGGTGGTAATTCAATCTTTTTTGATACTATTCTCCAAATTTTGGAGAGTAGATGGAACAAGAGCAATATTCCCCTACATTGTATGGCACATTCTTTAGTTCCTAAATATTATTGTGAAGCTTGTGATCCTAATTGTGCCTATATGACCAACAAGTGCTGTGCTTCCATTAGGTAGATTGACAGTGCATGGAAGTTGAGATGTAATGGATGTAAAAAATGAAGAACTGTATATCATATGGTCTGCGAAATCAATGTCTATGATCCAAGGTAAGGTAGTAAAATTTTGTTTTATTTGGACTGAAGAGCAGGGGCATGGAGATATTCTTGACATGTTGACATCTTGTGGACTATTGGCTGTGGGGTTGAAAGCTGTTTGGACGTGGTTTATTGAGTGTGTGGCAATAGCAACATTCCTTGGCTGAATTAGGGCCAATGGTTGTTGATATTGATCTTTGGTGAATGTCATTTTCTCCTCAACTATTTCTTCTTGCTCCAGAGATATTAGATTTGCAAAAATAAAAGAATAAAAAAATTCTATACATAAAGGACAAAGAATATACAGGTGACAAAACAAATTAACTATTTCTAGGAATCTTTAGCAAAAATAACCAACTGAGCAATTACGAAAATGCTTATGTCCCGTCAGATTTGTGAAGCTCTAAATGCTGCTGATTAAGCTCAAGTGTTGCTGGTTGTTGCTGATTGTCATCATGTCCCAATACCTTGGGCAGTGATAACAAAAAGGCCAGACTTATAGCTGTTGCCATTTGGTCGGTAGTAGATTGATGAAATTTTAGGTGAGGTATTTTTCTGAGCCAGTGTATGTAGGCTTCATAAAGACTATCATACTTAATTTTTGAAAGGATTCTCATAGCATAATTGATGATAATATGTTAATATTTCTTCTGTCCCGCATGTCAATTTCCAGTTTTAAGTGTATTACTCAATTATCATTTTATGATTGAAAATTTTGCGAAAATATCTTGAAGCCAGAGCTTGGTATCTCATTTTCTAAATTTGTACATTAAAGGACAATGTAAATTGTGGTGGTGGAATGTTCGTGACATTTACCTGGTGTGACAAGCAAATAACTGTGCTTCTCTAAGTCTGCATTTGTAGAAATCATTATTTTTTTGATATTGTATTTTGCAAGACGTGATTTGCTACATTTTGTCATCAATTGCTATTGGATTATAAGGGGTTGGAGAAGAAACAACAACAAAATTAGGGAAACAAAATGAATAGAAATTACGAAATACGTCAAAAATGAATTTGAGGCTTGAAAACAGGATCGTTGTCCTCAAACTGCCCCCTCTCCAGATGCTTAAGGGTGTTATGACAAATGGTTTGAAGGATTTTAACAAGCCTTGATGCAAAAAATAACAAAGCATGAGAAATTTTCCTCCAAAACTTGATGAACACAATAAAGAAGAAATGAATATGAATTATAGTATGGATTTGATTAATTGTGGAACAATGTATGTATTTCTTGTTTGTAATATGTTTGTATTGATCATTCATCACCTATTTATAGGCCTCAATCAATACATCACGAAATGGTGCCAAAACAAGATGAAAAGTGGCAACTTTTAATCCAAAACGGCTCCCAAGTTTCAAATTGAAAAATTAGCCAACGACTATTTTTTAACACTATGTGTATATATAGTATAAACCGTGCGTACGTATAGTAGAAGAAAAATCAATTATGATTTTTCCAAAACACATCTCGCGTACGCACAAAAATAAGCTTGTGCGTACGTATAGGCAAAAATTAAAATTTTCATTTTTCAATATCTTTTGATTCTACCAATTCCACAATTGAGTCCAACAATTAGTCCAATATCATTCCATTAATTTTGAACAAATATTCAACAATTCCCCACTTGTTCAAATCAATAAAATCACATATTCAAAAAGATGACACTTATGCATAAGGATTAGATATCTTTCGATTTGAATCTAACCATAGTGTAATTCAAACAAAGTAAAGTCGGAATTAGAGGTAGCATGGAAGCTTTGAACCAATTATTCCTTGTGACAATACCGATAAGAACACACACATAAGTATCATGTGTTTTCAAGTCCTCAACTCGCTTAGCGCTTTTATGGCCTTGCGCTCATCCTATTCGACAAACTTTTAAGAGAGAAACTCCAACTCTCTATTAAGGCGGCATCACCTCGACGTTAGTCTAGTGAAGTTCTTCCGGTACCTTTGTTACTTTTAGATGTACTTGTGTTTTAACACTGAACTTCATTAAGAACTTTAAGCTTAACCCTCACTTTAGTAACAACCAGCATTATTTAATTAGGATATGGTCATTGCAAATTTGAATAATGCTGCAACCATCCACATATTGAATAACTTGTTGTTACCCTTTGAACCCGTGGATTACTTTTTGAGTAATGACAGGTAGGGTTGCCGTCATTGGTGGACCTTTTTAGTTAAGAAGTTTCAACCCCATCCTACTCAAAGTAGACGCCACTAAATCTCTATTTAGTGCTTTAGTTAAAGGATCCGCTAAATTCTCAATTGACCTTACATAATTTAGGGAAATTATTCCATCTTTGATTAATTTTCTTATGTAGTCATATCTCAGACTCATATGTCTAGACTTTCCATTGTATACCTCGTTATTTGCCTTTGCTAACGTGGCTTGACTATCAAACATGATAGGTATTGAAGAGATATTCTTCGATCCCAAAGGTATCTCATATAAGAGATCCTTAAGCCACTCAACCTCTTTTCCGGTATCCGATAAAGTTACAAATTTAGACTCCATGGTCGAGTGTGTTATACATGTTTGTTTCTTTGATTTTCAAGAAACAGCACCTCCTCCAAGAGTGAATACCCAACCCAAAGTGGATTTACTTTCACCCGTGCTAGATATTCAACTAGCATCGATAAATCCTTCCAATATTATTGGGAATTTAGTATATTGTAGGCCCAAGTTCTTGGTTTTCTTTAAGTATCCAAGAACTCTCACAATAGCCTTCCAATGATCATTACTCGGATTGCTAGTAAACCTACTAAGTTTACTTATTGCATAAGCTATATTCGATCTTGTGCATTGAACAGCATACATAAGACTCCCTATAGCACTTGCATATTCCAATTGAGCAATCATCCTTCCATCATTCTTTATTAGTTTTGAACTTGGATGAATCGGGGTACTCTATTATTTTATGTTCAAATGTTTGAACTTATTTATCACGTTCTCAATATAATGTGATTGATTTAGATAGTAACCCCCACTAGTCTTTGTGACTTTGATACCTAAAATGGTATCCACTTGTCCAAAATCCTTTTTCTTGAATGTGGAAGAAAGAAACCTCTTTGTTTCTTCTATTCCATCCATGTGATTACTCATAACGAACATGTCGTCAATATACAAGCATATAAATGTCACATAATCATCACAAACTTTAGAATATAAACATTTGTCAACGCTATTATGTTTAAACCCGAATGATATTATTGCTAAGTCAAACTTCTCATGCCATTTCTTTGGTACTTGCTTCGGACCATATAAAGATTTCACCAACTTGCACATTTTATGTTCATTTCGAGGAAGGGCAAACCCTTCGGGTTGTTCCAGATAGACCTTCTCATCGAGATCTCCGTTTAGGAATGCCGTCTTGACATCCATTTGATGAACATGCAAGTTATAAATTGAAACCAAAGCGAATAATATCATAATCGATGTTATTCTAGCTACCGGTGCATAAGTATCAAAATAGTCGATTCATTTCTTTTGTCGATATCCTTTGGCTACTAATCTAGCCTTGAAGGTATTTAAGGATCTATCAACATTGTATTTTCTCCTAAATACCCATTTGCATCCAATGGGCTTGGATCCCGGTGGTAAATCAACAAGTTCCCCCCAAGTATTATTGGACATTATCGAATCCATTTCGTCCTTAATTGCATCTTTCCAAAAGGTGCTATCACGAGAAGTCATAGCTTCTTTATAAGTTTTAGGGTCGATTTTTACTTGTAGAACAAAAGGAATTGTTCTAACAAGATTCAACTCATTTCCCTCTACAAAGTAAAAGGAGATAAGTTGAGAATCGATTTCATCCAATCCCAAAGACTTTTTAACTCGAGTTCTCTTGCTTCTTCGTGGTTCACTAGATTCATTAATATCCTTAGAAAATATTTCATCATGTGTTCCACTTGAGTTAGGGATATTTTCAAGATTTTCCCTCAATTCATTATTCGAAGATAACGAATCCTCAAAGAACTCCACATCGTTGGATTTAATAATCACATTGGACTCCAAATTTAGTAATCTATAAGATTTGCTATTGTTTGCATATCCAACAAAGGAACATTTAATGCCTCTTGGACCCAATTTGGTCCTATTAGGATTCGTGTTCTTGCAATAGACAAGACACCCCCACACTTTGAAGTATCCAATGTTCGGTTTTCTTCCTTTCCACAATTCATAAGGAGAAACCTTAGTATATTTTGAAGGAATCCTATTAAGTATTCTACATGCACTTAATAAAGTTTCACCGTACAAGTTAAATGGCAACTTAGCACGAATAAGCATGACATTTATCATTTCTACAAATGTTCTATTCTTTCTTTCAGCCAAATCGTTTTGTTCGGGTGTCCTAGGTGCAGAACATTGATGAATAATTCCATGTTGTTCACAAAACAAATTAAAATCATTGGAAAAATATTCACCGCCTCTATCACTCCTTAAAATTTTAATTTTCCTTCCTAGATAATTTTCAATCTCATTTTTGTATGTCTTAAACATGTCAAAGGCTTCACTTTTATATTTTATCAAATAAACGTAAGCATATCTAGAAAAGTCGTCTATAAAAGTTATGAAATATTTATTTCCACCTCTAGTTAACATACTATTAAGTTCACATATATCAGTATAAATTAATTCTAAAATACTAGAGGTTCTCTTAACACTTTGATATGATTTTTTAATCATTTTAGATTCTACACATATTTTGCATTTATGTTCATCATTTTCATCATATGAGATCAAGTCATATTTTTTCATGCGTTTCATTGTATTTCTACCAACATGACCTAATCTAGCATGTCATAATGAAAATAAATTCACAACATAAGCAAAATTACTTTTATTCGTTTCGCTGTCAATGGTACATAATTTGACCATTCCTTCACACGAATAGCCTTTTCCAACAAATTTCCCATTAAGGGATACCGGACTCATAAACACATTTGATGCCCGATTTTCCCAAGAGATTGCCACTAACTAGGTTCTTATTCATATCCGGAACATGTAGTACATTAGTTAGAGTAACGGTTTTCTCAGAAATGAAGATAATGTCTATACTTCCTTTTCGAAACACCTTAGACCGCATCTCGTTACCCATTTGAATCTCTTATTCTCCATCCACTTCTTGATAAGTTTTGAACAAAAATTTATTATATGATACATGTACCGTAGCACAAGTATCATACCACTACTCGGGAACATTTCCTTTGATTGCGTTTACTTCACTTATGGTGGCCACAATTTTGTCATCTTGGATGAAATTCACTTTGACCTCAAAGTTGTTTTGTTTTCGGTGCCTACAATCATTGGCATAGTGACCAAATTTTTCTCACACAAAACAACCTCCTTTTGTCTTCGGTGCCTACAATCCTTGGTATAGTGACCAAATTTTTTACACACAAAGCAACCTCATTTGGTCTTCTTCTTGGACTTGTTAAAGTTCCTAGAAAGCTTCCTTTTGTTGGATTTTGCCGACGGTTCTATTTTTTCCACAACATTTGCTTAAAAAGAGCCCTCATGAGAATTTTCAGTTTTATCACGTATTCTCGGCTACTCTTCGATTCGAAGATACTTTTACAATTGTTCCAAAGAATAATTTTCGGAACTATGCATGATCTTCTTCCGGTATCCTTTCCAAGTTCTGGAAAGTTTGGCAATTATAGCTCCCACTTGAAAGGTCTCCAGTAAATCAATTTTTATCGCCTTTAATTTGTTGACAATCACTTGCAACTTATGCACTTGGGGAAGAAGAGAGATATTTTTTGAGAATTTAAAATTAAAATACTTAGAAATCAAAAATTTCTTTGTACCTTCTTCTTCCGCCTTGTACTTACTTTCCAATGCTTCCCAGATTTCTTTTGCCGAAGTTGTATTGATGTATAGATCATACAAACGATCCGACAATGCATTCAAGATATGGCCACGGCGAATCAATTCATCTTCTTGGCGTTTTTGTCTCTTGGTTTTGATTGTTTCGGATTCTACATTTGTTGGTTCCGGCAAAGGTGCCAAATTTATCCGACAATGCATTCAAGATGTGGCCACGACAAATCAATTCATCTTCTTGGCATTTTTGTCTCTCAGTTTTGATTGTTTCGGATTCTCCATTTGTTGGTTCCGGCAAAGGAGGCGAATTTGGATCAAGAATATAAAAAATCTTCAACGCCGTTAGGAGGAATTTCAACTTGTCTTGCCACCGCGTGAAGTTAGTCCTGTCAAAACGATCCAATCTAACCAGATCTTGATTCACGAATTTGATGGTTGCCATAGTTGTATCATTCTCTATCGCAAAGTATAGTTTGAGATTGTTGGATTATTAGGGGTTGGAGAAGAAACAACAACAAAATTATGGAAATAAAATGAATAGAAATCACGAAATACGTCAAGAATGAATTTGAGGTTTGAACACGGGATCGTTGTCCTCAAACTATATTTGCCCCCTCTCCAGACGCTTAAGGGTGTCATAGCAAATGATTTGAAGGATTTTAACAAGCCTTGATGCAAAAAATAACAAAGCACGAGAAATTTTCCGCCAAAACTTGATGAACACAATAAAGAAGAAATGAATATGAGTTATAGCATGTATTTGATTAATTGTGGAACAATGTATGTATTTCTTGTTTGTAATATGTTTGTATTGATCATTCATCACCTATTTATAGGCCTCAATCAATACATAACGAAATGGTGCCAAAACAAGATGAAAAGTGCCGACTTTTAATTCAAAACGGCTCCCACATTTCAAATTGAAAAATCAGCCAACGACTATTTTTTAACACTATGCGTACGCATAGTATAAACCGTGCATACGCATAGTAGAAGCAAAATCAATTCTGATTTTGCCAAAGCATATCTCGCGTACGCACAAAAATTAGCTCGTGCGTACGCATAGGCAAAAATCAAAATTTTCTTTTTTCAATTTCTTTTTATTCTACCAATTCCACAATTGAGTCCAACAATTAGTCCATTATCATTCCATTAATTTTGAACAAATATTCAACAATTGCTTACGTCTAATTCATGGAAGGACAACGAGCTTAACATGGTTGACGCTCCTGGACATGCAGATTTTCGGGGTGAAGTGTGTGTTGTTCCTAGGAGTTTGTTTTCATAGTTGGGTTATGGAATATATATTTTAGTTTTCTTTGAATTGTGTTTAATGCAACTCACCAAACGTCTTCTTAGAATTTGAGCAATCCAAATTCATGAGTCGCAATCTCCCCACAAAATGAGAAAGTTAGTAGGGGGTGGCAAGCAAAAGAAAAGATGATAAAGAAAATTCAAAAATCCTCCCAAAGAAAAAGTCTATTCCAAATGTGAACCCCGCCTATTGATTTATTTATTTTATTAATGTGGTAGTTATTAATTGGTTATACATGTCAATGGTAAAAATAATATCATTTTCAGCAATTTCAACTTCAACTGAATGCTCCACCACGAACCAAATTTGCTCTTAAATTCTCCACCGTTAATTATAATAATCTACTTGGTTACGGTGCATTATTGATCTAAATAATTTATCCTCGAATTCATTAATTTTAGTGACGAACTCATTATGTATTTTAGCACTAAAGGATCATTCTAATGAAGCTATAATTAGCCGGGGGAAAAATGTCCATTTTAAGATTTTACACATGACAAATGATTAAACTAACAGCAGTACCAAAAATCAATTGGATGTAAATGAATCTTTAACATGAAGGTAGAATTTTACAATTCAATTTATAGCTCCTTTTTTTTTTTTTTTCATTTTTTGAAGAATAAAAATGAAAAATATAGTCGTTACGTGCCCAACATAAGAAATAGAAATTCAAATTTGATAACTTGATGTGATGAATAACGGTTATATTTTTTATTTTAGTGAGAAAAGAATGGAACCAAATAGGGGCATAATCATAAAGTTAGGATTGTTAATGCCATGGTCAAATATTAATATTTTAATTGTTATTCAATGGTAACAAATATTATTTGTGCTATTTGCTATAAAAATAATAGAGTAAGGCAAAGAATTTCAATTAAAAGAAACGATAATGTAAATGTGTCATATCTTTATGAGCAACCTCGTAGAAATTTCATAGTTTATACCTAAATCCATGTTAGGTAAGAAGATGTACAAATAATTCATAGGTAAGAATATATACAAATAATTCAAGTGTTAATCACAAAATGCGTTACTTATTTTGAAATATTTATAAAGTTTGCATCATGTTACAAATAATAAAAAAGTTGTACTTGAGTGTTGTAGCAATTCAAACTCGATATGATGTTCCTTTGAATCTAAAATATAGTGGTGGGAAGTCTTTTATGCTAATATGTATAGTTAAAGCAAAAATGAAATGTGAAACTATGACTTTACATAAAGCTGAAAAGGTGATGGAATGTTTTGCACAACACAGTTTATTTCTAAGAAGATATTCCAATATGGCAAAGCAAGTGCAACCTGTGTGTAAAATGAGTCGTTAAGATATAATTCATGAACATAATATCGTTTGATACACAGAATCCAACTGTCATTCATAATACGAGGTACAACAGCTACTGTATAAACCTTAGTATTCTCATCTACAGTATATTAAAAGTGGGGATGATGGAAAAACTTTTAAATATTAAATTTACCCCTACACATTCAACTATATGCCCACTATACCCTCATAATTGGAATACCAATTTAATTAGTATTTATCATTTGGTTTAGAATTAATATAATATAAGGAGTGAAATATTTAATTGATATTTATCATTTTGGATCGGAATTAATATAAGGAGTGAAACTAACATTAAAAATAATAATAATAATAACAAAAATCAGTGACTTGCCATTTAATTAACCATTTTGTTTTTACAATTTTTATTTTCCACCAACGAATCAATTTTTATTTTTATTAACAAAACCCTTATTAATAAGATTTACATTATAATTTATGCAATGAGTTTTTATTTGTCATCAACAGAACAATTTTTAGTCTTCATACTTTACATTATAATTCATTCATTAAATTATTATTTAATTGAGTTTACAAATATTTTAAAGGTTGCATTAATATATTAATGAGGACATTCAATGAATTAAAAAGAAATTACGTATGGAAATTCAATGTCTAACATTCAATTGGTTCTTTTTCTTTACAATTTTTAATTTTCATCAACAAAGTCCTTATTACCAATTTAATTAAAGTGGTGAAATATTTGATTTATATTTATCATTTGCTTTGAAATTAATATAAGGAGTGAAATTGGCGTTTAGTTATTAGAAAATAAATAAAATCAACGATTTTTTTGTGAATTATCATTCAATTGAATATTTTGTTCTTACAATTTTTATTTTCCATCATCAAAGCAATATTTTATTTTTCATCAACAAAATCCTTATTAATCTTCAAGATTTACATTATAATTCATCTATTGAGTTTTTATTTTTCATTAACAAAGCAAATTTTATTTTTCATCAACAAAGCTCTTATTGATCATGATTTACATTATAGTCTATCCATAAGGTTATTATTTAATTGAGGTTACAAAATTGAAATGTTGCATTGATGTATTAATGAGGTAACAAATGTGCTAAATGTTGCATTAATATATTAATTAGAATATTCGATCACTTAAAAAAAAATTGTGTACAAAGAAGTATTATTGTAATCATATCATTATATTTTAGTTTATTCAACATTTTCACATTATATACATAATTTCATAAAAACTTTTATATATATACACTCATGCACTCATGCAATTGTAATTTTCCCTTTGACAATATCAATTACCTCTATTATTTTAAAAAATGATATTAGTAATTCAAAAATAGTAGATATATTATTCATCAATATATAAAATGTGCGAAGCACATGCTTACTACTAGTTATAGGAAATATATGGACATGGCGTTCTATAACTTCTTAATAATATCGCTTTATATATATCTTTCCAATGATTTTCTGAAACAACTAGTTTTGCCACACCATGTTATGGAATAAGGCAGACTTGCGTCACTTACGGGCTGTTTCCACAGAAGATGCGAAGGCATTTGCCGAAAGAGAAAACACATATTTCATGGAAACCTCTGCTCTGGAATCTATGAATGTGGAAAACGCCTTCACAGAAGTTCTTAGTCAGATATATCACGTTGTCAGCAGGAAAGCTCTTGAGGTCGGTGATGATCCAGCGGCTTTGCCTAAGGGACAGACCATTAATATTGGCTCTAAGGATGATGTTTCTGAGATGAAGAAAGTTGGATGTTGCTCTGTTTAAAACAAGCAGCTCTATTTACTCTAATGAGATTTAATATTCATGGAGCCGGTGATTTCCTGTTGAACAATTGACTACATATTGTTCATTTGCTTGTACCAAAACTTTATCCTCGTCATTGAAGGGAAATGGATCTCGATTACTTATCAAATTTTTTTTTTCTCCGTATCATCATCATCATCATCCACAGTTGCTTCAGAGTGTATTGTCAGTCTTAGCTCCTGGAAATCCCCTACGTGCGATAAATTTTTGATTGTTTAGGCAGGTAGTTTGAATTATATTTACCATCTTTGGATTGTTTTTGAGTTGTTAACTTAAAAGAAAAATGTGTGGGATTTTTATTACGGCTGGAAACTGTGTTTTCTTTGTTAAGACATGAGCGATCGTTACCCATCCATGTGATAGTGAGACCATTGACACATTATTTGTTGAATTTGTGATATATTTTTCATTTGATAACGTGGCAATGACCTCATAGTCATGTAGTATTGTGATCATCATCTAGACGAATAATATTATTTTTTAAGCCTTTTTTTTTACACAAATGCTGAACACAGGTATTTTTGTTATCGTGACCCATTTACTAAATGACTACTTGTAAATTAAATCAAATAAGCCCTTTCAACAAAGTGTTTTTTCTAGAATATTACTTGTGAGTTTTTATGCAAATACAAAGACAAAAAGGTCAAGAGTAGTAGAACAAGACATTTCGGAGGTTGAGTTCATGTCAACTCAATTAAGGGCCGAGTTCAAACAAATTGTTTAACTTTATTCAATCGTCGGTTTCACACGAGAAAACTAATACTCACAAACCACCACCCAACATTTGAGCGGTCTCTAGTTATCAACTCATTTTCTTGGGCTCGTGCACTCTCCAGCTTTATTCTCCTTTTCAAATTCCCTTCCAATTCAAGCATTATTGCCTATTTAACTTTCTTCATTTAACACAACTGCTGCCCTGGTCTGGCGCAGCTCGATCGCGGTCAGGGGCGGACCCACATAGGGTCATGTGGGGTCAAATGACCTCACAATTTTTCAAATTTTTTTTTTTGCCTGTTGAAAACGTAATTTTTTTCCTACTGCCAACAGCCAAGTGACCAACCGAATTAATTTCCCTAGTCCAATGTCCAAAAAGCTCAAATCCTAAATCTATATCCATATCACACGGTCCAAATTCATTAGTTAGTTCATAGATATATTATATAATCCACCAATTTCTTTCCAAAGTGCAAACACCGAGCACGAATAGCAAATCACCGATTTCTCCTTTTTGTTTATGATACATTGTTCGAAAAAAATTCATTTTTGACCCCACAATTCGAAGTGTCTGGGTCCGCCCCGATCGCTGTTGATGTATTGTGCGTATAGTGAATAATATTATCCATAGTCGGATTGCAAGCATCGACTATTTTTGAATAATCAAATACAAAAGAATCATACAATCATATGCATTAAAATGCATGTACCAATGAATCTGGTGAAAAACTAAAAATGAGAAGGAGAAGTAATTAAGAGGACAGGAGAACTAGCAATCTACGAGCTCCAATGACTTGGAATCAATTTGATTGTATTGACCTGTTACAAATAGAGATATCTATCTCTTGTAGAAAAAACCAAAACTGAAGGACAAATATTTTACACTATAATTATGTGTTAGGTTGCACAATATTGAATAAGAATAAATAAACTTGGAAAAAAAAAAAAAAAGTTAAGAGTGCGGTTGGTTTCCATTTTCATTTTCTAAACGATTTTTAGTTTTCCCCGAAAACGGTCTGTTTTCCGTGTTTTGAATGTTTTCGATATTTATAATTGAAAACACTGAAAACGATAAAAAGTCGTTTTACGTTTTCAGTTATAAATTTTAACTCGTTTTCAAAAACGACGGACCAAACGCGTTTTCGAAAATGGAAAACGGAAAATGGGCCGAAAACTGCAAATCAACCACGGCCTAAATTTTTTAAAATTATTTTGTGTAATAAATGTGAAATAACGATAAAAGGCATGTTTTAAATACCTGTAAAAAAGTATTGTTGGTTAAAACCATTAGGCAAATGCAACGGAGGCATAATAAGAGCAGAACTATTGTCTCTTTCTCCCCTTAGTTTATGAGTTTCTTGAATATTCAGAGAACTATTATTATCAACGTTGTTGTTGTTTATTTCCGCACTATTATAGCTCATAAACTTGTTACTGTTCCATCCCATTAGCCCTTGTGCTGCTGCTTTAAACTGATTTTGGACTTGCTGAATTTGCAGGTATTGACTTTGGTACAACCTTAGCTCCTCACAAACTCTTCTGTATTCTCCATAAGGACCTAGAACCGGATCCTTTTGCCGGCAAAAGGCTTCCCATATGAGCGAATCTACAGCTCGTTTTCGATCTTCTTCCTCGAGATTCATTACTATTTTCGTTACTTTGCTCACACCAAACACCTTATGCACTCCCTGGAATTCTCGGGTTTTATCTACAGGGAAGAAGGGTGCCAATATGCACTTTTCAGTGCATTTTTTCCTTTGATGCTTGCATGATGCACATGCAGATGTGCCATTAGCCTTTTGCATCTTAAAAATCAAATCAAGCCATTCAAATAAAGAAGACAGAATTGCAGTTAAATGTGATTTCAATGCAAAAGATTCATGTAATAAAGAGAATATAAATAAATAAAAAATCACATGTTACGAACACTTAAATTGTTTGAAAAGAATGAAAAGAGTGCCTTTAGAAAATTAGAATAAGTAGAAAACTAGTAATGAAGAAACTGATGACTAGAGAGCAAGGAAAGAGAGCCACAATGTACAACTAATCAAACTAAGATTCTTTGTGAATATACTAACGAATAGTTCTACATATGCAAGATCTGTAGTTGAGAAATTCGTTTCAATATTGGAATTGGGACATTTGAGTCAAAATGATAGCTGATATCGAGCACGTTAAAAGATAAGATTTTAGATTTTTCTTTTTTCATTATGTTAAGTACTTGCTATAAGTTTATATTACCGAAAATACTTCTTTAATTATGTTCAAATCTCATTATATGTAGATGTCACCGTTTCACTATCAATTACAGTGACACAAATAAAGATTAAAAAATTATTTGCTCTCTTCGTGCTGTTGCTTCCTACTTTCTCTCTCTATGATTCGGCTAAGTAATAAAGCATGAGATAAGACGACGTATTGTCTATGTACGAATTAGTATCTGAGGCAATTAATAAATTATTTGAGGAACCTCGTGCCCTCATCTACTTTATTTTTGGAACTCTTGCCATTTAAGAAATAGAACCTATGTCTTTTAAACGTTAAACTAGTGTATGTTGGCGAGCTCAATCATGATAGATAATATAAATTGCTAAGCAACCTAGGACGGAAATTAGCTTAACTATGACACTTAATCAACAAAAATGAACGAGAGTAGTTCATTTTTGTTATTGGGATAGTCACCTCGGCCATGAGCTCAACTTATAGGCCTCCTCTCTCTGAAAAAGAAAACAATGCCCCTCTTAGGAAATGTGAATGACATAGGCACGACAAAATATAAGAAAGACATAGTTATCCACAAAAATCACCAATTCGGAAAGTGATAAGAAGACCTAGTTGGTGCAATTCTAACAAACAAGTTTCAAGAGAGTCGGAGAGCCGCCCTTCCCAATCAATTTGAATTAAATGCTCAAATAGAAGCACACAGTACATCATACATCATTGTTACGTTGGATTTTGGCCATCTAACCATTTTCTATACATGCAAGGAAATTGAGAACTGCAACCAATTAATTCTTTATTATATATTTATTTAAGAATTGGGCTAAATTTTGTCGTTGAAGTCTCTTCCCCACTGCATTTCAGCTATGTAAGATTGGAAGAGTTTGTTGTTTAGGAGATTTTTAAGTTGTGAGTCCAATATCAATACTAACGAACTTCAAACATGTGCAATATTACAAATATTTATTCAATGTTCGGAACTAGTTAATATAATGATCCACTTATTCATTTTCATAATCCAACCAGCTAACCATACCCAATAAACTCCAACACTAAGACATTATAGTTGCAACTATAAAGCCTGTTTGGTAATGATTTAAATATAGATATTAATCTAAGTCAAAACTAACATTTAATTTTAACCACATACTGGGTTTCAAAACTTTTAAACCATACATCTCGTTATTTTTTTTTTCAAAATTTACTGAAAATCTGATTTTAATTTCCATCAAATGAAAACTAGAAATGTCACACGACCTTAAGAAATTACTTAAAACACAGTTCATGGCCAAGATATGGCACCATAACCACAAGTGGAGATAATAAGAGAAAAAAGAAAAATATCCAACCCTCAACTCTCACATTTTATTTTATTTTAAAAAATGAATTATTTATAAAAATAAAAATAAATGAATAAGTAATGGACTAAAAAAATTGCATTTCTCACTCTCTTCTTTTTAACAATGCATTCTTCATTAAAATAATATTACACGTAAATAAAAAAAATTCTTACTTTTCATCCACACATTTTCCATCAATCCACTATTCTAAAATTCATTTTTTTCATAAAAATGGTTGCCAAACACCATCTAAACCGCGCAATAAAAAAGAAATTAAGGGGGTTGTATTTAATTGAGACTTTTAAAGATCTTAATGGACTTTTTTTGAATGATAACTTTCATAGATTTTGTAGATCTTTTATAGATTTGTATGGAATTAGTCGAAGTATTTCGTAGATTTCTATAACTTTTCATTTTAAAATTTTTATAGACTTTTGTGAAATTCAAAAGACTTTTAAAAATTTTCATTTGAAATATAATTCATGTGGATCTGGTGTGAAATTCTCACACATGAGGTGTTAGTTCTCACAATTCCTCTTTTCCTCCCCCTTTTCTTCCCATATAAAAAAAAAATTGAAAAAAATAAAAATGTAAGACCTTAATTAAATAAATAATAATCAAAATTATATATATGATTCAATATTATTAGTATAGTATACTTTTAAAATAACTAAAAATCAATATATTTAAATTTAATTATAAATTTTTATAATTTAATAAAAAATAGATATTTAAAAAAAAAAAAAAGAACGAAAAAAGAAAAAAGTTATAAGAATCCAATTTAATTTTTTCATAGAATATAGAGATAAATAATAAGAGAGAAAGAAAAATAAATGAAATATAATCAATAGAAAGAAAGATTTTAATCATACGTGTTCATGAAAGGTTAAAGGAAAGAAAGATTGAAATTTTATTTTGCAAAAATTTTCTAAAATCTCGTGATTAGTGAGAGATAAATTTTAAAATTTTATATGATTACTTTCTGCTTAAAAGTTAGAATTTCAGAAACTTTTACAAAAGTAAGTTTTTAAAAATTATTAAAATTTGAATATCCCAAAACTAATAAAAAGCTCGAAAAAGTTTTAATTGAATATATTGTGACTTTTAAAGAGTTTCTAAAAGTATCGATTGAATACCTTTAAACTTTTTAAATCTAAAAAAGTTATTAAAAGTCTCAAAATACATCTTCTTAAAATTTAAAAATTATAAATTATAAATAAAAGGAAAAATAAAAAAGAAGAAAAAACCGTTAAACCCTTCAAAACCCTACTTTTTTCTTCTACACAAGATACTACGAACGAACGGCCATTTCCCTTTGCTTGCAGAAATGGTCGGTCCATTGCTCCGATCACTCTGGTCCACAACCACCAGAAAAACGTCCTCTTACTCATCCATCAATTATCTAAAGCCTCAATTATTCGGACGCGTCTTCTCCACGGCGAGCGCCTCTGCTGCCGCTCCATCGGCGGCGGCTCTGGGCGGTGTTGTGGACCCTAGCCAGCTGAGGAACGTGGCTGTTATAGCACATGTCGACCACGGGAAGACCACCCTCATGGATAGGCTTCTCCGCCAGTGCGGGGCTGACATCCCCCACGAGCGCGCCCTAGACTCTATTAGCCTCGAACGCGAGCGTGGTATCACCATCGCTTCTAAGGTACTCTATGAGATACCACTTTCCTCGAATTGTAAATTACTATTTCATGTTTGCTTCCTCATGAATTTCATAGAAGGAGGAAAGTTGTCGGTAAAAATGGCAGCTTGATGAAGTTTTTAATTAATATGACTCTTTTCCCGTGAAATGTATTGCACTATCTGTTTTGATGTAGATTTTATTCACTACATCCAACTGTATGAAAGGGGTGATTTTAATGTTGTATTAATTTTACATGAAGTGTTCAAGTCAATCAATTGCTCCTATATAGATTAGGTGAAGTTCTGAACAAAATACGCATATTTATATTAAATAGAGAAGTCATGATTATGAGTAATGAGGGAAAAAAATTCAGTGATGAGGAGGGTGATAAGAGAATAAAAAACATGATGATGATTCTTTCAACGGGTCCAACTAGTAATGATGACATATGAGACCTTTAGGTAAGTAGATAACAATTTTTATGTGATTACTAATTCATGAACTTAATATTTTTTATTTTCTCGATCTGTCTCATGTTAGTTTGAAAGTTAAGACTTGTGTTAATTTGGATTTTCAAGATTGTTTGGAGTATTATTTTAATTATTTTAATGTAATTTTCAATTATTTTATTGGTTTGCTATGTTGCCCCTCATAGAGATAAAACGCCTCAGTACTCGATTGATTTTTTTTAAAACATTGTATCACCGCAATGTAAATTGTAAGGGAATATTCCTGATATATGGGTTTGTACGCAGTCCTTTGAAGTGGAGTCACCTAAATTTCTGGACATCTCTGTTTACAACTTTATGTTGAATAAAATTTCTTCTGGTAGTAATGTAAAAAGGGACGGTCTTATGGCTGCTATCATTTGGTTGGTAGTATGTTGATGAAAGTCTGCGTGATGTATTTTTTTATGAGCAGCTAGTGGATGTAGATTTTGTCTGTCTATCGTGCCACTATGGCAGAGTTAATGAAATTATATTTATGTTTCCTCTGTTGCTTATGATAATTTACAAATTTCAATTTAGATGTCCGGATTCAGTATACTACTGATTTTTCTTTCAGTACCACCCTTTAAGAAATGAATAATGAGATTTAGAAGTATACACACAAATAGTTTTTGAAGCCAATAGGGTGGGTATCTCCTCTTCTAAGTCTGCATTAAGCATACAAGGGCTATGTAAGTTGTGGTGGAGGACTATTCGTGACTTTTGGATTTGTACAATCTTATGAAGTGGACATACATCATTTTGGGGTCTCTCTTGGATTCCACCTATAAGTCAGATAAAATTTCCCTGGCATTGATGATAAAAAGGCCGGACTTACGGCTGCCACAATAGTGTTGGTAGTAGATTGATGAAAGTTTAGGTGAGGTATATTTCTGAGCCAGTGGATGTAGATTTTGTACAGATTAGCTGGCCAGTTAGCATGGTTAATATTTTCACTATCCAGCAGGTTAATTTACAGTTTCAATTTTAGATGTATGAACTGTATTACTGATTTCTCACTTTATAATACCTGTTTTTTAATAAATGAATAATTAGATGTAGAAATTGTACTCAAATAGTTCTTGAAGCAATAGGGTGGGTATCTCTCCTGCTAAATTTGTGCATGTAAGGGCAATATAAATTGTTTTGGAGTATTCATGACCTCTGATTTGTAAGCAGCCCTACGAAG